ATTAGGTATCGGGATGAAATCCTTGGACCCATTGTCAGACCCTACGCTGGTGCAGTGGGTCCTGGGTTCCTCCTGGTGCACGACAATGTGGCGAGAGCATGCAGGCAGTTCCTCCTTGAAGGAATTGATACCCATTGAATGGCCCCCACGCTTGCCTGACCTAAATCCAATAGAACACCTCTGGGACAGTTTGTTTCGGTCCATCCGACAACGCCAGGTTGCACCTCAGACTGTCCAGGAGCTCAGTGATGCCCTGGTCCAGCTCTGGGAGGAAATACCCCAGGACACCATCCGTCGTCTCATTAGGAGCATGCCCCGACATTGTCAGGCATGCATACAAGCACGTGGGGGCCATGCAAACTACTGAGTATCATTTTGAGTTGCTGCAATGAAATTTCAGCAAAATGGACTAGCCTACTGCATAATTTTTTCATTTAGATTTTTGGGGTGTCTTTGAATTCAGCCCTCTGTAGGTTGATCATTTTCATTTCCATCAAACGATGTGGCATCCTTTCGTTCCTAACACATTACCCAGTCCATATCAGTATAGATATCCAGCATGATATTTTTCCCCATTGAGATCTGATGTGTTTTCAAAGTGTTCCTTTATTTTTTTTGAGCAGTGTATATCACTGAATTTGACTAGCTCATAGAAAACTATTAACCATATGATAACCATACTAGAATCATGATCTACAGAAACTGTTCTGCTTTGAAAGACCTGACTGAAAGACAGTTTACCTCTCCGGGATGAATTTCTCAGGTTCGGTCCAGTGCTCTGGGTTATAGTGAAGGTAACCTGCAGGTATTTCCAGAGATGATCCTTTAGGCAGAAGCTGGCCGTTCACCACAGTGTCTTGATCAACATCCCGTGCAACCCTGTGATGAAATACACAAAACCCAAGATTCACTCTGGGGAAAAAGTGCAATGCAATCTAACACCCAAAACCATTTAGCTTTATTTCTAATAGATGTGTTTCCAAGTAATTAAAGCGTAGAAATGTGTAAGAGCCGTAACAGTGTAATTAATATTCTTGCATGCTTGTGGTTCTTTGCATGTGATTGAAACGGTTATGAAGTAATAGCTGTCATACCTGAACGCTGGTGGGTAGAGTCTGAGAGTCTCGCATATAACCATGTCTAAATACTTCATCTCTTGGACATTAGAGTAATCTGCAGTATCCTAAAACGGAGAATCAAATATATTAAAATGACAACACCAATCCTCTACATTTACTATATACGGCCAGTAGGTGGCAGCACAGCAGCATTCATTTTTTAGGTTTACAGCACAATCCATTCTTAACATAAAGTGGCTTTTAAAACATTGAAAAAAATCTAAACAAAGCCATTTTGTACTATATTTGTTTTATAGTTTTCTTTGTGATCAATATTTTTAATGTCTTAGAGTATTCTAAAATAATGTGTATTATATACATACATATATACACAAAAAATCCTTTGTTTGAACTGAACTGAAATGGAAGCAGACGCAGCCCAGCAGGCAGTGCTAAGCAGTCTATCACTGCATGGCTCTGTGAAAATAGGGGTCAGGAATTGAGCACGCACCCGTACAGTTCTGCCCACATCCTCTGCCTCTGAGGCCCCAGACATGCAATGTGGGCATTATAAATGACTAGCTGCTCTCAAGTCACTCTGTTCCACTAGTAAAAGCATCCGTTGCACAGATGAGAGGATGCAGCGGGGCGAGAAAAGGGGCAGATTCTGGCATGCTGGATACTTCCTTTAGAGGCGCCCACCCCCCTATTGTCTGGCAACACTGACAGCTCTCGTCGGGCGTCACTGTGGTTCCAGTGTAGAGTGACATGGCAGTGATGAAAAACTGTGAGGGGCAGCACTTTGTCTCGCTGCAGCAGACGAGGTGGTTTGGATGCTGTAGTATGTGATGTTCTTTGACAACAGGCTCACCGTGGACTGAGGTTTTCTTAGATTTAACACTGTAAAGACTTGTAAGGGTTGTTTCCCACAGAAGGTGTTTTTGTGTTCAAATGCACTGCTTTTAATTGTTTTCCTATGTAAACATGCATTAGACAAGTCTTTGACTGTTCTGTCACATCTCACGCATTCAAGAAGTTCAACTTTTAAAAAGTCGTCACAAGACCCTGTGCTCTTTTCCATTTGGCTGTGCTCACCCTCACGTTTTTTTTAACCAATGAATGTGTCTTAAAGGGATTGTTCACACAAAAAATGAAAATTCTGTCATTAATTACTCCTCCTCATGTTGTTCCAAACCCGTAAGACCTTTGTTTATCTTGCGTTGTGGTACTGTCGTTAACGCACGTCAAAGTCTGACGCGGAAGAGAAGAAATTGTTGAATAAAGTTATTTTTGTTTTCATTGCGCACAAAAAGTATTCTCGTAGCTTCATAAAATTAAGGTTGAACCCCTGATGTCACATGGACTATTTTAACGATGTCCTTACTACCTTTCTGGACCTTGAACGTGTCAGTTGCACGGATGTCTATGCAGGGTCAGAAAGCTCTTGCATTTCATCAAAAATATCTTATTTTGTGTTGAAGATGAACGAAGGTCTTACGGGTTTGGAACGACATGAGGGTGAGTAATTAATGACAATTTTCATTATAGAGTGAACTACAGGTGCATCTCAATAAATTAGAATGTTGTGGAAAAGTTCATTTATTTCAGTAATTCAACTCTACTTCACTTAAACTACTTCAGTCTGTGTGCATTGAATTTATTTAATACACGAGTTTCACAATTTGAGTTGAATTACTTTTCCACGACATTCAAATTTATTGAGATGCACCTGTATAATCCCTTTAAGGTGCGGCCATATTTACAGACAGTTGCGGCAAAATTTTGTGAGAGAAATCCAATAATTTCACATTCGCACAATCAAAAGTTTCATGTAAGGCTGAAAATGTTAACTGAAACGGAAGCTTATGTTTGAGCTGGTTACAAGAAAAAAGTGTGTCCACATTTAAAGTTACGGCTAAATTTCACGAACTAAATCCAATAATTTCTTTCACTAGTTTTTCGGATGAGACGTTAAACCGAGGTCCTGACTCTCTGTGGTCATTAAAAATCCCATGGCACTTCTCGTAAAGAGTAGGGGTGTAACCCCGGTGTCCTGGCCAAATTGCCCCCCTGGCCTTTGTCAATCATTGCCCCCTAATAATCCCCAACCACTTGATTGGCTCTATGACTCTCTCTCCTCTCCACCTGTAGCTGATGTGTGGTGAGCGCACTGGTGCCATTGTACAGTGGCTGCCGTCGCATCATCCAGCTGGATGCTGCACACTGGTGGTGGTTGAGGAGAGACCCCCCAACATGATTGTAAAGCGCGTTGGGTGTACAACAATACACAATAAAGCGCTATATAAATGCATCATTCATTCATTCATTCATTTCATATCTGCATGATCAGGAATTTTGCGTAAATCTGGGAAAGCTCCAGATGCAGATTTCGCTTGTGTTCAAGTTGGTCACGCGACAATAGTGTTATATTATTATTATATAATTTTGCTATTATAATCTCAAGATATGGCTACGGTACGTCCCTCCTTAAATGTACATTAATGGGATTGTTTTGCTCAGTAACGTAATAGCAATTTCTCTGTAAGAAGCTGCATGATTTAAGGTATCAGTTATGTCCGTAGCACGAACTGGAAGTTATGATGATTGTAAACAATAGTAATAATGACGTTTGCCTTCACAAGGACTACTAACAATTGACTTAACTATGGTGACCATGGTCTAGCATATCTAACATATTTTACTCCATCTCTGCCCAAAACTACAATGCGATCAATATTGACCTTTCTATGCCATTTGTTTCAGTATAAAAAATGGTACGGCTCTGTGTTATTTCAATAATTTCTTTGAGAGAATGTGAACCATTCACCGTATCGCTGCAGAATGGACAGACCCTCTGTTTATTCTGACTCGCAGCCTCAAGTATGACTAAATTTAACTCAGCTGAATGCACACTGATGCCTCTAAAATCACAAAGCAAGGTCAGACAGCCCTGTAGACAGGCTAGCCAATTTTTCATGTCTCGGTTGAGTCTCTTTTTTCATTCTTTTTTATGCTTTCATCAAACAAACAAACAAAAGCCCAGTGCAAAAATGGATGTCTATGATAGATTGTGCACAATGTTGCTATACCTTGCATGTGTGATACCTTCCTCTGTGAGCCTGAATGCTGCTTTATTAACAACTGATCAGAGACTGCAGGCAATTTTGGGTCTGAAGTGGTCAAAGAAGAGCTCAGATGAACACAGTACAAATGAAAGAATATGTCCGACAAGGTCAAATCGGTCCGCTTTCATCTTGCGAGCATATATTTCTGGTTTAATAAGTGCCCTAAATCTTGTTTGTGGACCAACACTTGGCTAAGCTACTGTAATAAGATCACCCATCATAAAGCTCATGGTGAAGAAACAAGGCATTCTAGAACTAAAATATGGCAAAAACAACTTCAAACCTTGTCTAAATATGTTTACAGTCCCCTCGCCCTCAAACACGTTGATTATTGGCCCTCTTTAGAGTTCAAGACGTGCTTCAGATGTTACCGTGTTTCTAAATTCACAACAGACGTGCTCTGAATTTAATTGCATATTTGCCTGTTCTCATATGGCGACAACAAACACGTTCCGCTATGCAAGTAACCTAATGTATTCTCATTAAGTATATAAAAAAACAACTTAAAAAGTAACAGAACATATCATTAAAATCCAAAGGACTGTACCGTTGGAATTAGTAAAACAAGAAACGCGGTCTCCGCGGAAATGCTTTGACCTAAAAATACTCAAACGTTTCCTTCAAATTCATTTGAAGAGAGACAAAAAAAGCCTTGCCATGTTCAAAGGAGCACCCTGCTAAAACAACTCATTTCCCTGCATATTTCTGTGCCCCTTGGTATTAATATCAGCCTCTTTTCAGCAAATGAGATTCATTTCTCTTGCGTGAGTGTGCGTGTGAAGTGTTCGCAGGCCTTGGAGCACAAGCAGCTTGCCTATTCACGTCTGCCCGTCTCTCTTATTTATGCTTCTGCCTTCATTCACGTCATAGAGGAGACAGGCAATCAATCAGTTCTTGAATTGTAGACATTTAACCTCCTGTTTACGGCTAGCTGCCCATGATATGCGTGCATTCATATGTGATGGGAATTTTTTTGCATGACCGGATGAGAATATATAGTGAACAATACATCAGTGGTCATTTAAATGGTTCAGAATGCAGATTTCACATTGGATGTCCAATGGCAACCCAGTTACAAAATCTTAAAAAAAAGAAATGTTAAAGTCCTTAAAAAGCATCATGTCATATTAACATGAAAAATTACAATATTTATTGTCAAAATATTGTGCAGCACGGCTGTTTTTAACGTTGATAATAAAAAGAAATGTTTCTCGTGCATCAAACCATCATGTTAGAATGATTTCTGAAGGATCATGTGACACTGAAGACTGCTGAAAATTTAACTTTGCCATCACACGAATAAAATACATTTTAAAATATTTTCAAATGAAAAACTGTTTTTTAAATTCTAATAATACTTCTATATTTTTTCAAAAATAACTGCAGCCTTGGTGAGCATAAGGGACTTCTTTTAAATCCATAAAAATAAAGTCTTACCAACCCCAAGCTTCTCAACTGTGTCATATAGCTTAGTTATATCCTATCGTTATTTCAAGAATTTTTCAGATATTTTTTTAGATATTTTATCCTTGCTGTGCATGGCCTTTTCAAATCCACAAGTTGAAAGCTTCTTATTTACATTACTGTATATCTCTTTTCCATTTTAGGCCCTTTGTAATTGTAGTCCTTCGGTTCTATGGGAAAATGCAGGTTGAATAGTGCCTACGTGTTGGGAACGGCTAATGTGGCTTCTTATCTCACCCATCCCTCAAGATTTCCACAGAAAGAGCTATTTATGGTTATTGATAGTGATGGAGGCATGCGTGTTCAGACAGGAGATGCTCAGGGGTGCTGTTAATTGCATAAACACAATGAGTCTCATCTTGCAATGTCTTCTGATAGTGTGGAACAGGTGCAGATAGGCTGGAAAACCTATCGTGTTTCTAAAACCACAGATATGCATCCTATCAGTGAATCTCAATGGCACATTCAAAACCAAAAAAGAGCAGCAGCATTATAAAACATACTGAATCATAATCTTCCTTCAGAGTCTGAGTAGG